GGCCCAGTAGGGGAGCCCGTTAACTTGTCAATTAGTGGTTTCATTTCAACCACCGTCGTTGAGACTGAGAGGATCAATTTTACAGTTTCCTCCGAGCCAAATAATAGTTATTTCGTTTTTTCTCTGTGTGCATATGTTAAAGACACTATTCAGATTGGTTCCGAGTTAATCAATATTGCTGATTTGCAGAATAAATATCCACAATTAGCACCTATTAAGCTCACTCAATATACTTATGAGGACGTTGAAGTTATTATAGGACAAGACTACTACCACGCCGTTAGACCCATTGAGTTCATCTTGGGAGATGATAAAAATTCACTGTGTTCCGTTCGCCTACCGATAGGTTGGGTCATAAGTGGTCCGTTGCCGCCGTCAGTTGTTTCTACTTCTTCGTGTTTCAAGTGTGTTGTTGAAGATTCTTCTCTGACCGACCAGATAAAATCCCAGTATGAGTTGAAATCTTATGGTGCTTTCAAACAAGTCGATTTCCGTTCCGTGCGGATAAACATGCTTTATCCATCCTTAATTCTGAAACCGTTCACAATGGCGAAAGATACATTGTGCCTATGCTTTGGATTGATAGTAAAGTCAGTCTACCAAACAACTATTACTCGTCACTCGCCCAATTTAAAACATTGGAGAGAGGATTAAATAAAGACCCTGAACTGCGCGAAAGATACGCAGACACAATTAGAGGGGACATTAGGAAAGGCTCTGTCGTTACAGTCGAACCGCATGATCCACGTAAGCGTACCGATCGCGAGTGGTATCTTCCGCACCATCCCTTCGTAAGTCCCAATAAGCGGGTAAGGTGCGCCGAGTCCTTAATAGGGCTTCTAATTTTCACGGCACATCCTTAAATAAGTCCTTTTTTTTGCGATTCCGTCAACACAAGTACGCCTTCTCCGCGGATATAGAGGGTATGTTCCTCCAGGTAGGAGTCCTCGCCCGCGATCAAATTTCAATCCGTTTTTTGTGGCGGGAGGATACCACTTCCGATGTGGTAGTTCATCAGTACACTGACCATATATTCGGCGCACGGGATTCGCCTAAGTGCGCCAATTTCGCGTTGCGAAAAACAGCGGCTGATAATATGTCCACATACACTGAGGCCGTCTCAGTCGTAAATGAAAAATTTTACATGGACGTTTACTTGGATTCGTTCGAAAACGTTACCCAGGCAATTAAATTTAGCCGCGACTTGGTTTCGTTACTAAAGTTGGGAGGACTTAATTTGACTAAATTTGTCAGTATTGCTGACGAAATCACTTCAGCAATGAACCCCGAGGATTGTGAGACCTCGTTTTCACCCATCAAGGAAAACTGTAACGTTGCAGAACAATCATCGCACGTCTTAGGTCTTAAGTGGGACCATGTGAAAGACACATTGGTTGTTAGCAAAGGCGTGGATCGTCCTCTCGTTAAGGCAATAACTCAACGAACCGTCTTCAGTTTCGTCTCTTCTGTGTTTGACCCTGTTGTGTTAGAGCTCCATACACAGTTAGGGCCCGTCTTTTGCTTAAAGACATTTGGAAAATCAGTGGCCAAAGTTGGGACGATCAATTGCCGGAAGAGATAAGAGACAAATTTCTCGAGTGGCACTCCGGTCTCCCTCTCTTAGGGCAACTGACTATTCCCCGTTGTTACTTCACAGAGCCTGTGGATCAAATTGAGCTCCACATGATCGGTGATAGCTCGCAGGACGTTTTCTGTGCGCTTGGGTTTTGCGTGCGCGACTCTCGGGTTCACACAAAAAGTAAATAGCCTTTATCTTTTAAAAAGCTCGGGTTGCGCCCATGAAAGCGCTATCTATACCGAACTAGAGCTTCAAGCTGCTCTGCTCGCCACACGACCGGAAGATGATATAATGACAGCCCTTGCTGTCAGCATTAACCATGTCTACATTTGGACAGGTAGTACAACAGTTTTGCAGTGGCTAAACTCCACTGAAAAATTACCTGTATTCGTCGCTAATCGTGTCGGCGAAATCCTCGAATCGACCACTATTGATGAGTGGCACCATGTTCTGAGCGGCGATAATCCAGCTGATACCGTTACGCGGGCGATTTCGTCGGAAACCCTCAAGGATAGCAGCTGGGTTATTTGTCCGAGCATTCTCAGGACTACTGATTGGCCGGTTATACCCGACGAACGTGTGATCAATAAAATTAGTTTGAAGGGTCCTTCTTGTGATGTTGATAATTGCTTGGAGACATCATCTTCCTTCGTCACCGATGTCACATCCATCATATATCCCGAATACGGGTTCAATTGGGAAAGGTTCAGTTCCTTTACGAGATATAAAAGAGTAGTCGCTTTTATGATGAGGATGCTGCCTTCACATAAGCATTTTTGTGGTAAGTGAACTTGATACCCCACTGAACTTGAGACTGCAGAATGCAAACTGATTCATCTTGCTCAGATGGAATCCTTCCCCGTTGAGTTAATAGTAATCATAGTAAGAATAAGAATAAAATGTTAAGAATAATAGTAAAATTGCCACATAATCTCCGTTTATCGGTCCCGCTGGTATCATTCGTTCCACAGGACGGATCGTGAGCTTAATGGATACCGAGTTTGATACTAAGCACCCAATATTACTCGACGCCCGACATACCCTAGTTCGTTTGTTGGCTAGTAACCTCCATCATTATTATTTTCATCAAGGTTTAGATTACATGCGCTTCGTTTTAAATATAATATATGCAATACTTGGGTTGCGTCGACTACTTCGGTCTATCGAAAGTCAATGTGTAACATGCCGTAAACGCAAAGCAAGTACCATCCAGCCAATTATGTCCGATTTACCTCTCCGACGTCTCGGATATAAGCAACCACCCTTTAATCATACGGGTGTGGATTACTTTGGACCGCTTTACGTTCCGGTTTGCAGAAACACTGAAAAAAGATGGGGATTTTTTTTCACTTGCCTCACCACCAGGGCTGTACAGCTGGAGATTGTACCATCCCTGGACACTAGTTCTTGTGTCATGGGCATTGAACGATTCATTGCAGGTCGTGGTACACCAAGCACGATCTGGTCGGATAACGGAACTTCGTTGGTGCGGAAAAGGAACTACTTGCTTGCACCAAGAGCTGCAATGGCATGGTTCCGACCATTTTTGCACAAAAAGATGCTACTTGGAAATTTAACCCGCCAGGCGCACCCCATCATGGCGGCTCCTGGGAGCACCTTGTCCGAAGCGTGAAGCGCGTGCTTTACGATATACTAGGCAGTAGGCGAGTCACCGAAAAAGTGTTAGGAACAACACTCTGCTTAGTTGAGCAGGCTTTGAATTCGAGGCCAATCACAACCGTTTGTACTGATTCACGTGAGTTAGAAGCGTTAACCCCAAACCGCTTTTTGCTTGGACAACATGCCACAAGCTTTCCTTCGCTTTTACCTCGGGAGTACTTCGATCACAAGAAAATGTACGTGCGAGCGCAGTCATATGCTAACGCGATTTGGTCTCGTTGGCTTCGAGAATATGTTCCCTCACTGAATAAGCGTGTCAAGTGGCACACTAATTCTGACTCCACTCCTAAGACAGGCGATCTCGTGTGGGTGATTGAGCCCTATAGTCCGCGTGGGCACTACTCTCTCGCCCGAATCGTCAAGTTAAACTACGGACAGGACTGTTGCGCTCGATCCGCCCTTGTTAAGACCGCAACCCGTGAAGTCACTCGGCTGACTAATAAGCTCGCTCCGGTTCTTCCTTCTTCAAGGGGGGGGGGGGGAGGATGTTGCAACGCAAATGTAAGCGAGAGTATAAATGCATATATATATATATATATATATATATATATATATATATATATATATATATATATATATATATATATATATATATAAACCAAACACAAGCTTGAATATGATTGGACCAAAATGTAACAACCATAAGCACAGACCGAGCGGCCTAGGGACAAGGCTCTCACGCCGGTCAACTGGATTCGAGTCTCCCATACGCAGACCTTAAAACAAGTAGACCCGAGGGGCTATAGCCCCATTCGACCGTTTTTTACTGTTTTTTGGTTCTAATTCGGTTCAGCCTTGATTAAGACTGACCGCAAAAAAGAGCAACTTGTCTCAAGGACATTACCGACCGGTTCTTGTGGCTAGCTTGCGCCAAATACATACAAAAAAAGTTGTACCGAAACAAGATGATGTTGTACCGAAACATGATGTTATGCTCGACCGAATTTATGATGAGTTTCCGAGAGTTTTTGCCGGTAAATTCTCTCGTTTAATTCAAACTATTTGACTTCATTTTTTTTACGGAGATTAGGCGCACAAGCGCCATCTTAAAATGTTTTCTTCATAACTTTAAGTCGACATTGTCGACATTTAAAGTCGACTTTAAGTCGATATTAAGCCGAATTGGCGAAAACTATAGAAGGTTTGGTGAACGACTCAAAACTTTTTCCAATAAGCTGAAGAGCTATACCCAGACAAAACAAACTCAGAAAATACTCCAGAAAAGAAATGACGACCTTCGCATCTGCTCAAAATTCTTTGTTAGAAATCGGTGGAAGAACAAAGGTCGTTTTTTTTGTATTAAGCAAACCAATCAATGCGATCATGTTCTCTCTTAATATTTCTAAAAATTAAATTGCAGAATTGAGAATTCGGGCGGAATATGTAAAAAGACACTTGTATTGCATGCGGGGGAAAGTTTTTCAAAAATGGGAAAAAATGATTTTTTTTCATGCTCTTTAGAAAATTTTGATCAGAGCTTACAACCAAATCTAGTTCAAAATATTTAAAGGGCAGTGCGAACATTCAGGATATTTGCCTTGATACGTCTTTGTTGTTTCTGTAATGCGTTAATCAGAGTAAGCTGCTATTGGTAGTGTTTTTTAACATTCGAAACCTCGAGCGCCTGAACGCCGATTGATAAAGGAGTGAGTGTTTATATGGAGATCATATTTGCAAACAGTGTTTGATTCAAGTGAAAACATTCTTGATATGTACTTAATTTTTGTTAGACTGTGAACTGTTGAAACAACTCAACGATTGATATTCAGTTGAATTTTAATAGTTTATAAGTTTATAAGACTGAAATGTTGCTACTATTGTCATCGACTATTATTCTTCTGTGTAAGATGATCTTTCCTGATGTACTTAATAATTGCTTTTTTTCCTGATGTTTGGTAAAATTGCGTAAGATCTCAAAACTTCGTCGGGCGGCGGATTTAGGGGGGGGGCGGAGTTGTTCGACCCTCTGCCGACCCAAAGGGTCCCCCCTTCGTTATATTTTGAGATATCTATTTTTCGTGACGGAGCCTAAAATGTTTTATTAATAATGAAGGGGTAGGTAGCGCGTCAAAATTGGTCAAAGTTTTTCAAAAAAAGCCTAAAAACGCCTTTTTGGCCAGTTTTTTCAAAGTTTTGCATGCAGCGCACAAAGTTCGGCCGAAACAAGGTCTTTTTTGAAAATCCGCCCTCCTCCTCAAGAAAATCCTAGCCCCTGCTTCGTAGAAAGGACAACCTGTATTTGGTATAATTTTATGCTTAGTATTTTTCGAATTTTGGGTACGTTTTCGACTATCGCGCTATCAACACCAAAGACTTCGGTACGCTGCTCCTTGTTAAGGAACTCCATGTTCGGAAACCGGATGGCTTTTTAAGTGAAAAATTAGATATCTCCAGATACTAAAGTATTAAAGTCCAATTGATGTCAAAGAACCACCACTTTTTGAACACGCATTATCTGGCGCCGTCGAATCTTATTTTTCTCTTCATCATATCGATTTTTTTTTCAGCTCTGCTTCCGAAGCAACAGGCAGTGATGGTCGCCTCAAACTGGGAGTCCCTCGTATTTGTTCTTCCCCACCACAGCAACGAACTCAGCCGGAAGTGCGCACTCTTCAGGTACAGAAAGTCACCCCAAAACACGACTTCAATCGACTTATTAAAGAATTATTATTGAGCATTTGTTTGGTAAAGAACAAACGCTCAATTGTAGAAATCAGTAAAGACCGGACGAACTAGTCTGGAAAAAAAACAAACTTAGTTTTGATAAAAAGCTTGAGATTAAAAAAAGTTTTACAAATAAAAATAAGTTGATAAGTACTATATAAAATGAAAATAAGTTGATAAGTACTATATAAAATGAAAATAAGTTGATAAGTACTATATAAAATGAAAATAAGTTGATAAGTACTATATAAAATGAAAATAAGTTGATAAGTACTATATATAGGATAGTCCGTAGCTGTACAAGTAGCACAGAATGTTTCGACCATACTCTTAAAAAAAACTTTTATAAAGCCTAGAACTTCGGCATATTCGATAGTCATAGTGAAATAGACTTATTGAAAAACAGTTTGCGCTTTGAAAAGGACAAGAAACATTTAAAAATAATCAATTATTTTCTCTAACTTTTTTGAACTTTTTTTTGCATAATTTTTTGAGTTTTTGAAATTTTTTGTTTCCAAGATCGAGTTTAAAAAATGAGTAAAATGATCTTGCTTTATTAAAACTAAATTTTTAGGGATTGAAAATGATCACCCGGCTTATCGTTTTATAAGACGCCTGCTTGCTCGCTTTTTTGCTCGAAATTAGACAAAGTCAAAAACACAATATTTTGGATAATTTTTAAGGACTGAAAGGATTTTATTATGATAATATTACGGGACTTATTGCGATGATGACTTGTGGTACGTAATTTTGCGTGGAAACGAAAATAACAAATTAAACGCACCCGAATACAAAAATTCATCCCCAGTTTTAATGGTCGGAACAAATTATAACAAAAAACGTAAAAAAATGCCAAGCATTTTTTTCTGATACACTCATCCGGTAAATGTTTGTGCGCAAAAAGCTTCTTCCTAACAATTAATTTATGCAACTTAAATCTGTTGTGTATTGGAGCATATAACGATGAATTTGTAACTATCTCCATAAAAATGTTACAGCGATCATTATTGCCTTTATGGCTACCTGAATGATTCCTATGACGGTGGAAGACCTAGAAGGAACATTGATGCGAGGTCTGACCATGAAGAGTTCACTACTATGGCAAACAGGACATACAAAGAAATCAACTGGTTTTCACTCAACTCTACAAATCCAGGTAAGTGTTTTTGTTCCCACTATAGGCGGCAATACAGCAGTTTTCACATCACCAACTTGTATTGGCTTCTAAAATTATATTTTTCGCATGCCGGATTTGTTTTTACCGGACAAGGGTATCCAAAAAAAAATTTCATTTTTTTCGCACGCAAATGCAGATGCCAAAATCATTTATTTATATAACTGTCAAATATGAGTACGATTTGCCATAATGAAGCCTTTTGTACGTCGTTGCATAGAAGTCAAAAACCCTGACAAAAATTTGAATTCCGAGAACTTATTTTAACGACCGCAGTTATGTTGAGAGACTGAAATATCATTTTAGATGATTGTCCGATAAAACTTAATACATGAACTTGGACTTAAGTAGCGAAGCAATCAAGTATTTTTGCTTTTGAGCAATCTTAATGGGTGTTCTTATTTTATATTTATCTCAAACGTCATTCATACGGGTGATTTGATTGATTTATTTATTTTTAACTTCGTTGCTAATCTATCACTATTTAATAGTTGAAGATAACCTTTGAAATTGAAGATCTAATAGCCACGTTGGAGTTGATGTAGTTCTTACAAAAATTAGTATTAGAGATATTCGTTGACATTGGAAGATTTTGTTGAGAAAATTTTAATGCCTAGTTTGGGTCTTGTAGGTTAAGAGTGAACAGCTCGCATGTTGGTTCTTTTCCTCTTGGATAAACTATGTTAACTTCAAAAAATTTGAAATATATTCACTTGATTTTTTTTTGTTTTGGTTAGGGGGTTGTTGTGGGTGGCAACTGAACATGTATGAGAAGCATGGAAGACGCAGAGGTCTCTCCCCCTCCGAGTACAACGAGAGACTCCTAGACTACTCCTCCGAACACAAACACCTCAATTACATCAAGGTACCACAGGCTCTAAAAGCTCTAAAAACTATTTTGCCCGGCAAAACTACATTTTTTAGTCAAAAAATGAAGTATTTTGGATCTGAATGAACTATTTTCAAAAACATTGAAATATTTTGGATGCTATTTAAAAAAACATTGTTTTTCTACAAAAATTAATGGTTGATTTTTTGTTAAGAGCAGCCAGCGGATAGAATGTAATGTGACATTACAAGGCCAAACGGTTTATTTTGTGAGTTGTAAGCGGAATCCTCAACAGGCTAAAATTTATTTGTCACGGAATCCGCATTACGGCCCATTTTCTTTGATAATTTTGCTCGTTTGGACTTCACGACGTTTTATTAGTCAAAGTTGCTTCAAAAGCAGCCGAATTTCACTATGTGCAATTCATAAAGAAGTACTAATACATGTGTCTGGTATGTCAGTCCGCAACTGTAAGTAGAATCAGCAAAATGTAAATGGAATCCTCAAACTGTATATGGAATCCGGATTTGGTTTTTGGAACCTACTAACATATTTAGTTAGATACTTAAATTACTCGTTGAACTCGATTTCAAAAATTGAGAATCAATTTGTACAATTAATGTGGGCAAGTACGTGTTCCGACGAATGAAAAATGGAGAGCTTTGTATTCGGGTGTAATTTATTTTTTTAACGCAAAATAAGGTACCTCAAATTATCATTGGAATGGACCGAGTGTTAGGGCACTTGTAGTAGGGACTCATAATTCCTAAATGTTTTCTCAGTGTCGAGTTCATTATAAAAAACTTAAATTTTTTACTTAGATTTTTAGGCTTTAAAACCCTAAATTAAAATAAAATTACCATATCTCTGAATCATGGGTCGCACAGGGTCGAATCATGAATTGAACAGGGTCGAATCATGGGTCGAACGGGGTCGAATCATGGGTCGAACAGGGTCGAATCACGGGTCGAACAGGGTCGAATCATTAGTCGAACAAGGTCAATCACTAATCGCATTGGGTCGAATGAGGAGCAGGTTCAGAGGTGATTTTTAGTCGGACTGTTTTTTGCTTCCAAGACTGTAAACAGATGCAAATTGTATAATTAATTGCAAAACTAACCGAGTTGTATGTTTTGCTGCTGCCCAGACTGAGGTTTTTGACACCTGATTCCGCAAAAATGGTCAACTGATGTCCGATTTTCGTCGCAAGTTATTAGGGTTCGATTAATTCGCTCAAGGTCAGACAATGTCCAATAAAGCCGAACAAATTAGTTCAATGTCGAACAGTGTCCAATAAAGTCGAGCAAAGTCGAGCAATGTCCGTAAAGTCGAAAAAAGTCAAAAACTGACATCATTTTCGGTCGAATCATGAGACGCGTGCCTCAGTCTGGGAAGTGGCCAGGGAATTCAAACATAAAAACATGTATTAGTTTGTTCTACGTTAAATTTCGATTTGTTGGGCAAATTTAGTTCTCTGCTCTCTGATCTTTTGTTGTTCAGTAATCGCATCATGCTCCCTCTGGATCTGAGTTCATTTACTGAGTGCCAAAAACTACGTTCTGGCTTTTTTTCTAAGGTTTTGACCTAATAGTCTTGTTTATTTTACAACGCACTCCTCCATCTTAGAATCATTATATACTAGCGTCAATGACACCTTCAGAAAAATTCGAGGATCTGTCAGCTAATAATGGATGTCGTAAAATAGAATCACAGGGGATTCGTTGGGTAAAAAAGGGAAAAAAGAAGCGTGGGCCCTCCCTCACACCCGCTCACTTCCTAAATCCGCTACAGGTGTAGAACAAAAAATAAAAATATATAATTTTTTATTTTACCGGTTGTTTTCGTGAACAGTAGTTCTCGTTGACACAAACCGTTGGTAAAATTAATTAAAGATTTTTGACGATGAAAAATTACCTAAAATGTATCAAGGATCAAGCGAAGTTGCACGAATCATCAAATTTATTAGAGAGACCCAGACGCCTGTCTCTTCAGCCGACGATCGATTAAAACAAGAAACATTTAATGAGGAAGATGAATCATGAAAAAAAAACGTTTATTTATCCCACCAGAAATAAGACTCAATCACTAACAAGGATAGCCGGTTGCTGAGCGAGTACCACGACCTTGACCCTTTAAAAATGTTTTTTTTTATTAGTGTCGTTTTTAGAGTGATTCGATAACTATACGATGGCAAAGAAAAAGTTGAATTAGGCATGATCGACGACATTTGTCTCCACAAAACAGAAAAACAAAAAACACATGAAAAAAAACTAAAATTAAATGTCAATTTTTTGCACAATAATAATTCTTTTTAGAAAACTTTTGAGCACTTAATGAAACATCCAAAACTAGTTTTCTATTAAGTAGAATCAAGTTTGTTTATCTTAAAATATAGAAAAAAGTAAATTTCCATATAACGCGCGTTACTAAATTTCCATATAACGAGCGTTTTCTCAACACTGGGAAAATTTTTAACATCATTCGAATCGCGACTGAAAGGGTTTTCGCTTCAATATGATATATCATTCGAATCATTCCGATGATTATTAGTGGTAGCTAGTGGTACCTGACTTTGCGTGGAAAAAAAATCAAAACACACGCGATTGCAAAGATCCTCCTAATTTCAATGGTCGGAACGAAAACACCTCAAGGACCTCCTATCAGGAAAACTTATAAAGAGGTTGATACGAGTCCACATATAGTCTACCTTGAAAAGGCTCCTCTTTGTAATTTAGGCCGAGTATGACGGATTTTGTGGGAATGTAATAACGGCTGTCGGGTTTGGAGCTCGGGGAAAATTGAGGCTTATGGGGGAGACTGGTTCCCGTTACCCTCCTAATATTCTGTTTTACCGTTTGGCTGGCCATAGCACCTGGTTGGCCCAGGAGTATTTCCAGTTCATCACTTTAGATTGGTTCAGAAAATCAATCATGTGCAAGGACCAGCCCTGGCTCTGCATATGAAATTCAACCCTGAAGAGATAGAACTGAAAAAAGAAAACTGAAAACTGAAAAAAAAATGTTGTTTCTCTATTTTTATGTAATCAAGTTTGTCCTTTATTAACTTTTTCATTGAATATTAAATACCAATTATTAATTGAATTAATTAGTTTACCCTCAATCCAATTTGAAGCAACTGTTGAGGCACCCTAAATCACAGCTTATTAAAACCCAAGGTTTTCATTGTAATCATTTTGTTTTTTTCCTAAATGTTCTGCCAAAGTAATACTTCTAATTTTCCCCTCCCCAACAACGTTTAACCCAGACCATTTGCTGGAAATTTATTTTCCGAGCCCAACAACCTAGTAACAAAAACTAATCTAGTAAAGCATTAAGTAACCAACTTTAAAATTGATTTTTTTTGATCCAAAAAATGTAGCTTAAAATCAATTAGAATTCATTCTAATTTAAGTTTAATCATTTTTTTGTTTTTTTTTAGTTTCATTTCCCTACGAATTTTACTAACAATGAAATTGATTTTAATCGATTCAAATTAGTTTTTGACGACTTTTTTATACTCAATATAAATATATTTTAAACAAATAATATTCAAATTTTTTAGACTACTAAGCAATAGAGAAACAGAGGAAAGAAAAATTTAACGTTTGCTTTTTAATTGACATTTGGTTTTGATGTACTGGAAATAAACTATGAGGATAACTATTATCTAATTTTTTGCAACTTAAATGAACTTACATATTTCGAGACCTCGAAATAAACTATGAGGATAATTAATATCTATTTTTTGCGACTTAAATGAACTCATATATTTTGAGTTTTTTAATAGTATGCTATTAAAAAACTCAAAACATATGAGTTCATTTAAGTCGCAAAAAATAGATATTAGTTATCCTCATAGTTTATTTGCTTAACAAAATTGAGCCTAGAACGTTGTTGATATTGAATATGAAATTTGAAAAATGTTGCAGAGTTTTATTTCTCATTACCGGGGGAACCCTTAGCATTGCACAATTTGAAAGAAAATCCCTTAAACGCAATAGTTTGAGGTAAAAAATCTTACCGAGTGACTCTTATTCTCTGCAGATCTGATGGAGACGTTCTTGAGCACACAAAATTGCTCAAGCTTCGAAACAAAAAGAATAGTTAAGTTACATCAGATTTATTGAAACTTTGATGAGTTCCAGTACCTTGCGAAAATCTATTTAAATCCCTTTTTATGCAAAAAAAAACTGATTTTTTTTCTAGAATAGAAATCCATTTAACCAATTCTAGATCAGTATACGTGTTTAAATGGGCTATCATAAATCGACATCTAAATAGTATATAATCTGTATAAAAATCGCTTTAAATCAATTTCAATATCAAGTTTGTCAGTGCAGGTTAAAACGATTACTACTTATTTTCAGTGTTTTTTAATAATTTTTCTTTAAGATCGGATTTTTTTTTCATATTATAATAGCAATACAGTTCTTTATAAGTCGATTTTAAAAGATTTTTTTCTCAGAAACTGACAATAAACTTTTCAAAAGTAGAATTTTATCCCTGGAACCCCAGTGCGGACCCGTAGCCAGTAAATTTTCTAAAACAGATCTGAAATAATCTTTTTCAGATCTGAAATAGGTTGTGAAATGTTTAAATAACGCTTGTATTCTTTAAGGATTGGTTATTTCAGATTTAAATTCAGCTCTGAAATTTTTTTTTCTTGGTTATTTCAGATCTGAAAAAATCTAATTCAGATCTAAATTCAGCTCTGAAATTTTTTTTTCTTGGTTATTTCAGATCTGAAAAAACCTAATTCAGATCTAATTTCAGATCTGAAATTTAGTTTTTCTTGGTTATTTCAGATCTGAAAAATCACTGATTTGGACACAATTGTTGCTATTTGTCATATTTTCAGCTTCTGCTAGCTACTATAAGGCACTCAGCAAAGTCTCAAATTGGAGACTGCCGGAAGAATATTCCCCCAAGCATGAGATAATCATTGGAAACGCATAAGTAGCGCATGCAAATCAAATATTTTACAGGTCTTCTAACAGTTTTTGAAACTTTTTAACACAATTGAACAGGAAATTTAGTTCGAAAAAAAAACTGTTTGTGATAATGTTCGTATGTTTTTCTGACCGCTAGTTAATCTAAACATAATTGTGTATTGCAGAAACATCAAAAAATAAAAATTCCATTTTTTTTTGCTCGAAATGTATAAATTATAATTTAACAAAGGATTTCGCAGATCTGATTTCAGATCTGAAATTTAGTTTTTCAAGGTTATTTTAAATCTAAAAATTTCCATTTCAGATCCAAATTTCAGATCTGAAATTTGTAAAATTCTTATCAAGATCTGAAATAAAGAATTTTAGATCTTGCACAGAAAATCCCCTGGGTACGGGGATGAATCCTACATAACTCTTTCAGGCACTTTTGCTTTTTATGGATCCTATTACTCTTTGAGCCACTTTTGCTGAGATTGAGAAAATTCAGCGTCCCTTAAGCCGTAGTATTACTTCAGAGTGGTCCAGTTTTTCAGTCAAAACTTTTACTAGACACAAATACCTTTTTTCTGTTACTCAAATGATCGAACATAACTTGCTAGCTCTTTTTGGATATTTATTTCCCTCAGACAGCGACTTTCCAAAGTGGTTTTACATGAACAGCAAAAACAGCAGAGATTAAAAACCTTCTAAAGATGAGAGCAAATCACTATTCAAAAACCGTACACTAAATTAAACATCTCAGGAATATCTGCTTGCCTCTTTATATACTGAAGAGCTGTTTATTTTCAGGTGGTTAATGAGGACATAGAAGCGTGTGGGAAAACAGTGGTTTCTATTGGGTTCGGATCGGGTCGATTGGTATACGAGGACGAAACTGGAATAAGGGAGACATTCAACCCTAATTATGACTCATTCAACTTCCCTATTATCTTTCCCGAGAGAGAAAGGGAAGGACGGATGGTAAGTTGCAATTACTCTTTTTGAATCAAGTTAGCATCGGAGAGGGTCATAACATCACAGGGTTGACAAAAGAGGGTTGACAAAAGTTGCTAGTCATACAATTCACATACTACAGACCTTGACATTTCATACATTAAAAACTCGCATGACTAGTTGTTCCCATATAGTTTATAGAGGTCAACCCGGTTTGATTCTAGATTGGATTTATCGGTCAATCAGAATCGAGTACATTAAAGACAGTGATAGGCAACCTCGATCCAACGTAGTTATAATTTTTAATCAAAATGATATTCAAAATTGAGGGAGGAGGGGGAGGCGATTTTAACTTTGTCTGTTTAAAAGAGAGATAGTTACTTGATCCCTCATCTTCAGCAGAGGTCATAGCAGCCATTTGATTTAGGGGAGGGGGTGAAGCGGTGGGGTTACGGACCTCGCTTCCTTCTGACAGTCGACCCCTGCCGACCCAAAGGGTTCCTTCCCCCTTTGTACTATTTGCAGATATCTAATTTTGGCTGGCGGACCCTTAAATTTTTCTAAAGGAGCCTTGGACGCAAAATATATTATTTTTGAGAGGGGAGTGCGCGCCAAAAAAACGCAATTTTTTTTTATTATTATTTTCCAAAAAGTGCCTATAAACTCCTTTTTTGGCCTGTCTTTTTTATCAAAAATTTACCTGCGCCGCAGAAAATTTGGTCATAATGGGGTCTTTATAAGTGATTTGGGAGAGCTCAGAAATTTGTTTTGAAAATCCGCCCCCTCTCGAGAAAATCTTAGTTCCGCCCCTGCTCATAGCATATGCCAAAAAGGGAAAAACACCAAGACTTGAGAAACAAAATTTGGCAATCTATGATGAACAATTTCCTAGCAATGCAATTTCCATAACAAAAGTTTCCTTACAATGGCTATTTAAAATCTAGTTTTGCTTTGTCGAAACGGCATGCATCCATTGTTTTGTTCGCTGATAAAACGCTGATAACTTTTTGTAAATTATCTATTAAAAAAAACTAGATGAGGTTCTGTTCTGGACTGATTTGATCAATTTTTAAATGGCTTCAAAGTTAAGGGATGTTTTTTTTCAGGTTTACAACATTGATCTGATGTACTTCAACTTCTCCTGGTTCAAGAATTACTACATATGTACGGCGCAACCCTGGATTTGTGGGGGAAGGGCAAGACAAAATCCACCCTGGATACCCATTTAACATAACCCAGAATTCTAAACTAAAAAATCAAAAACCTAAAATTGAAGTGATAGATTAGATCAAATCGCCTGATGATGTTTTTTTATATGAATCAAGTAAAAAACTTTGGATAAGTTCTTTCAAATTTGACAGAGATGATGTTATTTTGCCGTTTGCACTGAGCAGTGAGGTGGTTGACGAAGTAAACACTCGCAAACCATTGAGCATCTCAGCATCTTCTAATTAAATTTTTTTCTGTTGGGAACTACTCTAAAAACAATTGTTCCTGGCCAATATTAACATAACGTAAATTTTACTCGAAGATAAAAAAAATCTTATCATGAAGCGTTTAACTCTATTTGTTGATATTTTTGAAGGAAATGACGACACTATTGACAAAAGTAAGATCATAGGAGATTTTGATACGATTTGACTACCTATACTGAACTTTTCTCACAATTTCATGTCTGATCAAACAATTTTCAGCCATTAGCTGTTTTCCAGCTCTGTTCATATCTGGCCCAGGAATGATCATGTGAAGTCAGGTATGATCATGCCTGATCCAGGTATGATCATGTGAAATCTGATCTGAGGTATGCTTGGGACAGGCCTGATCATACCTGGGCCAGACCTGAAGCAGACATGTTCATACCTGACTTTTTCCATAATTATCATGTCTGTACAGATCTGATTCAGACTTGTACAGCGAAAAAAGAGATATGTTACAGTACTGATATAGATCTTAAATTTGTACGAAACTTCGATGTCCAGATTTGAATTTAACTACAAATTTCAGTACGGAAATATCAATTTATATCGATCCAGTTTTTTATTCGTTTATGCGAAAAAACTGCTTCAGAATTATTTTCACCAACGCCAGACAATTTGTTTTTTTTTAGAACAAACCACTTTGCAACCTTTTTTGAGCAAAATATATAACTAACCAATGAACCAATTTGAAATTTTTGTTATCAAAACTTACTCATCATCTGAGTTGGTTTCTTTTCAAAACTCCAAATCATTCTTTTTTGGAAATGGAAAGTTGAAATTTTGATTGCATCAGTGATTGTTTTTAAAGTTTAACCATTGAAAAAATACCAAGAAAATGGAAAAAATTTGAGCCTCCATTCTTATTGAGGGTAATAGGAAAAAATTATGCTCAGGTTAAGCTCAGGAAAACAAAAACTCGAGTATAATTCTGACATTTGAAAATTGACTCTCGAGCTAAAAACTTTTTCTGTGACAGGCAAATGTTAGGCTCTGAAGTTCTTTGTTTTCATTTATATCTAACTTTCAAATCTAAATTTGCTTATTTCTACTTAAGTTTCTTGTAAATTTCTAGATCCTGAATTTTTTTCATTTTTATCTGAAAATTAGGTGTAAATCAGACATTTTTCAGATCTGAAATAACCAGGAATTACATAAGTTCGAACTGAAGTAACTCGTTCGTCGTTCATAATCCACTTCAGATCTAAAATTCTGATATGAAAAACGTAAATTCAGAAAACTCCGGAATAATCTTTTCAGTACGGCCAGCAATATAACTCGTTTTATATTGTTGCCTGAAACTGCACTAAAACTGATAATGTAAGGATCTCATACGGCCTCAAGAATGGATTTTTTGGTGGAAAAAATTTGACTGAATCTTTTTAAAACACCTAGATTTGGTACAAATGTTCTTTTTCTGAAAAAATTGTATGTTGTCAAATAATGTTGTCAAAAATAATTGTATAGAAGCTGTAAAAAGGCTGTACATGATATGTATATAATCTGACTACGTATTAGTACAGAGAAAATCCCTTAAGCAGACAGGTCAGTGAGCACGCAAAAGACTTTAATTCTTCATCTAAGGAATTTTCGCAAAATATAAACCATCATACCTCTGCACGTTTTTGTCTTTCAAAAAATTATCCAAAGATTCAACTGAGTTTGCAAAATTTTTGCTCTTAAAAACTTATTTTCTAGCCATATTGTAATATAATTTTTGAAATCCTACCTTGATTTTAATTTTGACTAATCAGAGTTGAGTATTGTCAAAGTTAACTGCTTAAGCGTTTATATTTAGATGAACTAGCGGTAAAAAAAAAGCTTCCGAATGATTTCACAAACATGTATGGGTTGGGTTTTCTGCTCAATGACTACGCCTCATATCTTCATATATAATCATTAAACAGTTTGCCAAAAAAGTGTACATAAATTGTCAGTAAATTGTAGCTAGCATGTACCAAAAAAAACACAGCAACAAATGTGTTTTGGTAACTCTCGATTCGATTAGGATGATAGTCACACTACCGTTAAATTGTTGTTCCAGCTTCAGTTGTATACGAGGATTGCTATGGGCTGCTTGTTTTTTTTATTCTTTCGCGTGAATTCCTTCAAACTCATATTCCTATATTTTTTTTCATTTTCATCAGATGTTAAAAATTGAAGGTAGTGATTTCAAATTAAGGCCACCTGAAGTTGGTGTAAAGGAAGTTTTCTAAAACACTGAAGCTGAGCTAAATGTTCAATTTCAATTTAGAAACAAGACTGCTCGTATATGAGGGCAACGCCCTGAGTGTTCCGACTGTCCCTTAATTCATATCGAATAGTTTTTGCGAAAAGAAAAAATTGAAAGTCTATAAATTTTGGAAATTATCTAAATGTAAAGTTTTGAGTCGTACGAAATTAATACGACGAATTAGCTAGACTAAACTCAAATTGAAACGATTTTTATTGTGCGGATTAATTCGTCACGCATAAACTATTCGCGTTACGCGCTCAACAATATGACTAATTTCTTCAATTTGCCTATAATTTAGTCTAGTACATGGCCATTTTGGCAATTTTTTAACCCACAGAACTTTACAAAAAACAATCGGAGGTAAATTTTTTTTAAGGTTTAACTCAGGAAGTCGACTTCTTCAATGGGATACACAAAATTTTCGTTGAAAGTTATTATTTCGCGCGTTAAGTGTCCCAAATTGGCCAAAATGGCAATCTTCAAACCCCAAAATTTTACGAAAAATGATTGCAGGTGAAACATCTTTTGAATATTAAGCTCAAGACAATAATAGCTTTCAAATGAAATTAAAAATTCCGTCAAAATGGATAGTTAAAAATCGTCGAACTTTGCTTGAAGAAAAAAACTCAACTCGAGTGAGCACAAACTATCGTTACGAAAGTCGAAACAACAATTACAGCCGAATCAGTTTAGAATGTTTCCTTCGATTTGTTTTTAACTTACATTTTAATGTACAACTAAAGGTTGAAAACCACAGCGTTTTTGCATTGAGTTCAATTCAATTGGAGAGAGAAGTTTCGTTTTAGAAATTTCAAACGTGTGTGATAGTATTTTACGCATAGTGTTTTACCGTTTATCTAGTTGTTTATAGTTGATCAGCTCAATCTGGTAAAAAGGCGAGTTTTTAAGAAAGATAAAAAAATGATATTTATGCGCAAATAGTGTCACCGACAATTAGGAGAAAATACTTTGTCCAATAAAATTCAAATGTTGCATGGACACAACAGCTCAGCAAAAAACTACCTTAAGATTTCCATCAGTTAGAGTAGGGAAAACGATTTTGTAAAATTCAGATATTGAATTAGATATGATATAAATATAGATAGAATAGAGTAAAGAATAAATGATTATCGAATCCAGAATTGAATGTATTGTTTTAATGTTTAATGTTTATGACTAGATTTCACACTTAAGGCTTTCGCAAATGACAGCTTCAGATTCTCAAGTGACAAACGATTTAGCTGGTGAGATTTGTCCTTGAATCAATTTACTGCACTTTAAGTAGGAAATTAAGATATAGTTAGATAAGACAATACATAAGTAAATAGAATATAATGAGGTACCGAAGGTCGCCTCATGACACTTCCCCCTCTAGAAAAAATTTATCTTGTATAAATTTCGGAATGAATCAGGCAGGAGAATAAGAGGGAAAATAAGCACAGTAATGGGTTAGTGATAACCCAAGCAATAGGCTAATATGGCAAAGTTTACAAAGTTTTAAAGTTTGTCATGCTCTTCAGTTCTTGTTTTCTTAAACGGAGTAGTTTGCTCCTTAGTTCTGGGAAACGGCACTTTCCGAACGATTGGGGTGAACGGCGTAGTAATTTGAGTAATTTGATTGGTGAGTTGCGTAGTAATTTGATCAGTGTTCGGTCGTTGTGGCGAAGGCTCCGCAGGGTCAGATTCAGTTACACTCTTAACTGAATGGCGAAGAGGATCTCCATAAAATCTCGTTGGTTTCTTAGACCGATTGGATGATCTGTTAGGCTCGCTCGAAGATTGAGAGGTAGGATTGTCAACCTCCATATGGCCGGTATTCGCTGATTCCTCTGACGCAGTCTGAGCAACCGTGTCGGAGATCTGTGGCTGATCTTGGGGTGGTGTTACCGCCCCTGTAGGGGATGTCAAGGCTGGAATAGTTGGAGGATCGAAAATCGGAGTGTTCGAAGTAGCGATCACAGGAGCCAATCCTTGAGGCGTTGCAACCGGTGCCTCCACCAATTCGAGCTGGGGGCCAGTGACCAAGGAGTCCTCGCTCGACGACTCAGCTGTCAAGTCAATTATCTTGCCTTTTGAAGGTTCCTTTGACTGCCTTGTAGCTGAAGTAGTAGCTGGTTGAGACTGCTTTGTAGCTGAAGTAGTAGCTGGTTGAGATTGGGGCCGAGGAGCAATTCGTAGCTGCAAGCGTTCTCCCACTGTGCCAGTCGTAGCTGAAAACTTAGGGTGATTAAAATTATGTCTTAGGCTTAGGTGATTTTTTCGATAGACTTTCCCTTTGTCGGTAATGTAAGTATGATTCGTAACGCGAGTAATCTTGATTTTTGCTAGTTTGAACAGCGGCTTTCCTGAATTTCGATCAAGAACTTTCCGAAAGATTTTGACTCTTAGAGGAACTTGTAAAACTAATTTTTCTAATTTACGTGTTTTTGAGAGTCTTTTAGGCCTCGAAGAGGACGACATGTTTATTCTCTGTGAATGGGAGAGTGCTGGTGCTGACGTATCGCGGGCGTTGTCGTAG